CTGCTGGTAGGCTGGCTACGGCTGGGACTGTCTACCCTGGGGGCTCACAGGCAGGGCCTTGGGCCCTCCCACGCACCCTTCTGCGCAAACTCCGTGCTAGCTCATGCGCCGACAGACAAGCGCGCCTTATTTTTTATGAGGGAGAGGGGCAATGAAGTCATCTAGTTATTTCAAAGACATTATCGTTAGTTTCTATTGTAGGAAGAGCTTGCTCTATAGAAGAGATGCCTCTGGATATTTATAGTTAACAGAGAAGGTAGCATTAGATAACAGTCAGGAATATATAACATAGCTCCTTGGTTTTGTAGGACTAGGAAAATATGATTCTTGTACTTCAAGCTGTGTAATTGCCCTATTGCTCTGGGCTGGTTATCAGCTCTTGCCTGTTGCAATCATTTGGGTGTTCACAATGTCTGGACTTGTGCTGTCAGTGCTCTTGAGGTGTGACTTTCTTCATGAGAAAGCAGTAAGATATGACAAGACTTCTAAAGTGAATCATATTGGGCAGAATACTATTTCATTTTACATGCCTAAATGGTACTTACTCAGCTGGGTAAGTGCCATTTGTGGCACCTATGCACAGAATGCTATCCTACTCCACATGCAGTGTGAACATATAAATCCACATGACTACTGAGCATGCACAGTAGATTGTGCTCTGGCTGCATAGGTACGCGGCCCTGTGTACATGTTCTGGAATATAAGACCTGAAATTCTGGTGCAGCAGTAAACAGGAAGAAAAAGGTTGATACCTCCCCACCATAATGTTTTAGCCTATAGCAGGGGTTCTCACCTTTTTAAACTTGAGGCACCCCTCTATGACTTTTGTTAACTGAGCAGCACCTCATTTAAAAAATGTATTTATTCTAGTCCTTACCTGCTTGTAGAGGGGCAGGAAGGAGGAAGAGCCCGCATTGCAGTGAATGGGGGGAGAAGGAGCAGCTGGAAGAGAAGAGCCTGTGCTTATGTCTTCATCAGACATAATGTCCTCATCAGCCTGCATTTATTTCATTTATCATCTCACTCTTAGCAGAACCCTTCAAAAGCTGTCCTGGCACCGCAGAGTGCTGTGGCGCCCTGTTTGAGTATCACTGGCCTTTAAGCTAGGGCACTTGCCAAGGAAGCAGAATATCCTGGTTCTAGTGCCCTTCCCCTCCACCCAAGCCATAGAGGGAGTTTGAATCTACATGTCTTCTATTTCTAATCAGAGGGGTCAGCAGTATTTTCTGGTGGTGGGCTAGAATGGCCCAGAATTACCTTGCCTGTGAGCTGAGGCGGCACCTACCCGCTAGCTGCCCACCTAGGTGGCCCTGTGGGGGTACCGCCACCATGGAGGGAAGGTCCAGAGCCCCCTCAGCTCAGGGGCTGCTGGCAGCTCACCCACTGGCCATGGGAGAGGCAGGCAGGTCTTCATAGGAAAGAAGTCAGCAAGTCAGAGGATGTGTGGCTCTGCAATTGCTGCTGGCCTAAAGCACTGAGGTGCTAAACTTGTCCTAGCACTGTCATCCACCCTTTTAATTCCAGTGACTAGTAAATGCAAGGGGCAATAATAGCTCAGCTTCAAAAGATGGCGGGGGTGGTGGTGGGGAATGGCGCTAAATAATGCATGACCTTGAACCTGGTCTCTAGCTTTTTAGGCAGGTGCTCTTAAAATTCTGGTACTTAGAGAGCCCTTCTCTATCACCACTACTCTGCCGCCAGCACCTGCCCTATGTGCATGGACTTGTGTGTCTTACATCCCAGATGTACAGTTACTAATATTGGGAAAACAATTCAGGTTTTTTTAGACCCTGGGTTTCTGTGCATGGAGACTCACTTGTGACTAAGTTCTGCTTGCAATGTCTGGTTAAATGTGTAGATGCCAGTACTTGATAAATTGAGATATACTACAGCTAAGCATATGTTCAAAGAAGGTAGTGAAAGTGTGGTTGGCTCGCCGGGCTCAAGGGTGAATGAATAGAAAGCATATGCTGAGGGACCTTAGGAACTTGCAGCATCTTATCTCTTGTTTTGTTTAGATCTTCCTCCTCCTGCAACAAGAGAAAGGCCCCCAGGGTGCAAGACAGTGTTTGTTGGAGGCCTGCCAGAAAATGGAACTGAACAGATCATCACAGAGGTGTTTGAGCAGTGTGGAGAGATCATAGCAATTCGAAAGAGTAAAAAGAATTTCTGTCACATCCGCTTTGCTGAAGAGTTCATGGTGGACAAGGCACTTTATCTCTCTGGTAGGCATTTCTTTACTTTGAGTAATGGAGCACAGGCACTCTATCATCCTTGGGACACTGTCTCCTCCTCTGTTTGTTATTTGTTTTAATCATGTTTAGTAGCTTTCCTGATTTTAAAGAGTCACTGGAAAGTCCTTTAATCTGCTAGATTTTGTCTAATTAGGGCTTTCCCAGCCTTTATTGATAGAAGAGGCACTAGCCTGTGGTGCTTACTTAGAGGCAGGGTGCAAGATCAGTGGCTACCATTGCCTGGGGTGCAAAAACTGCTTGTTATGCCTCTTCCCTATTACGGTTTCTATGGGGCTGAAAGTTCTCTTTTGAATATATTTAACGTGTAGAGCTGTATAACTGAGATACACAAAGCCTGAATGCAGCCAGCTTGGAACCACATTCACGGTAGTGACCACCAGTGCATGCATTGAACTGATTGTAATTTATTTCCTAACTTTTTACTAGGATATGGTTAAACTGTAATTGCTTTTGTTATTTCACAGGTCAGTGCATGAGACTGGGTTCACATGGTTGTAGGGAAGGTAGGAGTTTAAGACGTTTTCACATAAATCCTTTACAGCCCTTGAAGTTTATTATTTCTAGAGCATCACTCTCTTCAGCTGAGGCCAACGTAACTTTTTTAAGGCACTACTGACTTTGCAAGGATTAAAATTACCAGTGGTATTGCAATCTTTTTCACCTCTCTGTCTCTCTAACAGTGAAGATCAATGGAAAAGTTCATGGAGGAAAGAGAGAGATTCCTTACCAGTGACAGGGAGGCTGTGCTAAATTCTTCCTATCTCAGCCTCCATTTACACTTCATTGGAGTTTTTTGTTTGTATGGAATGTTAGAAGGATGTGGGTTTTGGATGCTTCTCTGTGTGCAACCAAGCTCATTCAGTCCTGTACACAAAAAGCAGCCACAATACTCACTGCTTTGGAGGCAGTATTTGCATATCCATCATATACCCTGTGCCCTCTTAGAAGCACTGCTACTTTTTTGTTCATTAATTTTACAGAACCATCAGGGAGGCTCTATAGTACATAGCTGGGGTTGGAGGAACTGCCACTGTATAGCTGAGTTATCATATAAACTGGCTTTCAGTGTTTTTGTTGTGACCAACAGGATATCGAATCAGACTAGGCTCTAGCACTGACAAGAAAGACACTGGACGCCTCCATGTTGATTTTGCTCAAGCGCGAGATGACCTGTATGAATGGGAATGTAAACAGAGGATGTTGGCAAGAGAGGAGCGCCATCGCAGAAGAATGGAGGAAGAAAGATTTCACCCTCCCTCCCCACCTCCTGTTGTCCACTACTCGGACCATGAGTGTAGTATTGTTGCTGAGAAGCTGAAAGGTATGCAGCTCTTCAGGCTCTGGTTGTCTTTTGTAGCAGATACTGAGGCATGGAACACACCCAATTTTCAGTAACTTCTTTAGGTTGGCTGATATAATAATACCACTTAGTTTCCATATTTCTTTAGGTGCAGTGCTGCCACAACACGTATTAATGTCAGCACAACGTACAAGTTACTCATAATTATTTGTGGTTAACTTCTGTTTATTTTTAAAGAAATAGCAAACGCAGCAAAAGATGTTTTCACATTATTATGAAGGTGGCTCACTGGGCCCTATTGAAAAGTCAGCTCATGCTGTCTAAAAGAGCCTACTCCAGTCTTTCCTCCTGTGCCTGGGCCAGTGCCAGTGTCCGAAGATCGCTGTGCTGATTTTCCCTCACTTGCGTTCTTTACACGAACAGGAAGAACTGATTTTTCTTTCCTAGCTACAATTTTGACAGTCACCAACATATAGCTCTGTGAAGTACCCATTAGGTTAGAGGAAAGTTCACTTAGTTGAGTTCAACTTTTGACAGTTTTTTAACTCAAATGCATTTGCATTTTTCAAGCCTAATTATTGAGCTAGACCCTTCCCTTCCTTTCCCTTCCATCCCTAGGAGACTGGTAGGTATTGCTTCCCCATGTTACAGATACGGCAATGTCTGTCAGAGGTAAAAACAGGAGTCTGGACTTTTATATAGTACAGCCCTCTTTGTGCCACTTATCTGTCTTTTTATCCTCTCCTTATCTGTGCCTGTCAAAAAAGAATTTGCCAATTGTGGGTGCTCAGTGCCTTCTCAGTAAGTCCCGATCATGCTTCACTTCCAAGGTCACACCCTCCACTGCATGAGCAGCCAGCAGGGTGGAAAGCCAGGCAAACCCTGGCTAGGGTCCCTGTGCCTGTGGAAGAGAGGGGGGAGAGAGGGGTGTTTAATCCTCTTTCCTGCCCCCCCTGCCTGAGGTGTTGCCTTGGCCAGTGTCAAAACCACTCCCCCAGGGGATAAACCTGGCCAGGGCTGCTTCCACCTCCCAACTCCAGGTTGAAACCCCTCCCCAATTATACTCTGGGCTTGCCAGGGCCTGGTGTTCCCCCCACCCCAGGTCAGCTTCCATCCAGCCTTGCAGATGCTGCTGAACGGAAGGGAGGGCTTGCTCTAGCACTGCCCAGCTTCTAGCCTGACCCACTGCAGGCATGTGGCTGCATTTCTGGAATCAAAAGTGAATCAGATTGGCTCAATCTATGCAGGTTAGACTAACCTGCAAAGATTTAATCAATTCAGACTCAGGCTTTTTGGATGTCCATACTTAGTGGGTAGCCAGATAAGTAAGTCATTATCTATATCTGCATTATATAACTGTTGGGAAGTATGTTTTCCATTAGCTACAATTCTAGTGACCCCTTTGAGAAATCCACTTTAGCTAATCTAAACAAATAGATCAGTGCTGACTGTTAGCAAGATGGTTACCCAACAGTAATGCCTAAGAATTGACTGTGCAGACAGTCCAGGTAGCTTGAATGCTTTTACTGTTCTGAAGAATTTATTTTTGGTCCAGATGATTCCAAGTTCTCGGAAGCAGTGCAGACCTTGCTGACCTGGATAGAGCGTGGAGAAGTGAACAGGCGGACTGCAAACAACTTCTACTCTATGATCCAGTCAGCCAATAGCCACATTCGCAGACTGATGAATGAGAAAGCAGTTCATGAGAAAGAGATGGAAGAAGCAAAGGAGAAGTTTAAGGTTGCATTTTCTGGGATTCTAGTTCAGTGTGAGTAGTATTTCTGCACTGAACATTGTTACTAGATGGAAACACTTAATTTCCCAGGGGGACACTACTTTGTTTTTGAGGAGGTGCAGGAAATCGAGCAAGACTCCAGAAAGATAGTGACCATGGCAAAACAATATACAGTAAAAGCTCTGTTATCTGGCATCCCCTGGGAATGGGGGATACCGGATAACAAAATATGCTGGTTAATTGAGCGGCCCGGGCTGCTGCTTCTCCTGCCGCCCCTCCCATGGCATCGCCACCCCTCCTGTGGGCCCTGCAGGTGCCGTGGGACAGGGAGGCAGGTCCTCTACAGCCGTGTGCAGCCTGTTATGCCCCCGGGCTGTGGGGGCTCGGCAGCTCAGGCTACTTTGCCTTGGACCATGGGGGCTTGGAGAAATTGGAAGTGCCAAGGTGGACATTTCCGGTTTCACTTTATCTTACAAGCCGGCATGCTGGTTAATTGAGCATGCCAGCTTGTAAGATGCCGGTTACTGGAGCTTTTACTGTAGTTAACTTGTAAGCAGTATGTGATTAATGTTGATAAATTTCTTCTGGTCTTTTCTGGAGTACTTTGTGGGGGATGGATTCCACTTTTGTTACTTCTCAAATGTAGCATGTAAATAATTTTATTGCAGCAGTTGTCTTGCCAACATTCTGCACGTTTATGTGAAGTTCAGGTAAGCTTCCAGCAGCCTGGTGCCCTGGTGCAGTGGCCAGGATTCATTCAACAAAGGTAGGATATAGCAAAATGCTTTCAAAGTACTGTCCCTTTGAAAGATGCTCCATAAACATGAAACTTCTTAAGGGGTTGTAAAAACAAGTATTAAATTATCTTTTGTTTTTAGTTTTGTTTTTTTGTTACCTCCATTGTGTTCCATTGGCACACAATGGAATAACTAGACTAGGGCACAGGAGTTCTATTCTCAGCTGGGTTCTATTCTCAGATCTGCTGCTGCCTTACTTGGTGGCCTTGGCTAAGTCATCCCCTATTTTGTGCTTTTGCCATTTGTGAAATGGATAATGATATTCACAGCAGCAGCTGTGAAATGGTTATGATACTGACCTCCTTTGTAAAACATTTTGAGTTCTACTGATGAAAAGTATTTGGTGTTGATTAGGGATTATTATTACCTCCTTACTGGTGTTAGCTATGACACACAACTCCAGGATTAATAGTTCAGGAGAGCAGGTCTCTAACACTTTAGATGTGTTCTTCATTTGCTGGAGATAGACCAGATCCTGTTCCATCTATTAAATACCTAAGTGGGCTTGGACCCCTAGGTGCAATTCTATTCCACCTTGCTTGAGTCCCTGAAAAAATGTTAAATCTATTTTTCTAACATGCTGTCATCTTTGCCTTAAAACAGTCATAAAAAACAGTGAGAAGGAAGACCCACCCAACTTCTGTGTTAACTTTCTTCAGGGACACAGGCAGAGTGGAAGAGGATTACACTTAAGCATCTAATAGAAAGAATTAGATCTGATCCAAGGATCCTAGAAAATAGCTGCACTTCAATATTGGATCTGAGAGAATGATATCTCTCTCTCCTTGATACTTCTATGGCCCTTATCACAGGACTTTCCAATCCCCCCACGATCTGTGATGGATTTATTGTCACACATTCCTATGAGGCAGGTCAGTGCAGTTTTACAGAGGGGAAGATAAGCTTTATTTTGTTAGGATTATGCCCACTCTAGCAGGCCAGATATACAAACCCAATTGGCTGTACATCCTGTTGTTAGGAAATTCTGTGCCTTGTAGAGACATCACATAATTCTTTTAACAAGTCCAAAAATGCAGGAGAACATTTTGTAAATAAATGAAAGCTAAAATGGCTTTAAGTCTCAGTGCCTAGGGGAAGGAGGTAGCCTTTTCATTTTTCCATCCTGAGGTGAAGAACCTTTCCTTGTGTATGGGTAGGCGATGTATTACAATGTTCCAGGTATGACACTGTGCTTTGGTACTGAAGCCATGGGACAGAAGACAGTTCTCAATTCAAAGTCTCACCATATGATTTAAACATTCTTTCCTAGAGAATGTAAGATCCTATTCCCATGGGTGCCCAGGAATGCTATGTTTGACTTGTTGGCC